TCCTCACCTGAAAAGGTTTAAGGTATTCATATTAGCACCAACTATGTGCCAGGCACTGAGCAAGGGTTTTAGAAATATATAGCTTCCTATGATTCCTTTGCCATGTTCCCTTCTATTAAAACAAAATCTAGCCTTCTGGCATGGCCTAGACCAAATTTCACCTACTTCCTGAAAACTAAATCATGTTGGCCACCATCTCTTCTCTTTGGAATTCTTTTAGTACTTATTCTCCGAATCACATATTTTGCTATATAACTACATTTTTTTCTAGCTTACCGTGCCTGTCCAATGAAACTGTAGGCCCTTGGGGATGGGGACTTAGTAAATAAATTTTAAGTGCCTCTAATATCTACTGAAGACATAGTAAGCCCTCAACAACAGGAATTACATTCTAAAGAGACATGCCTCTCTGCAACAGAGTGGTTCTTGATGATGCGCTATAATGAGACCTAATAATGAACTCTGAGTTTCTCAGGATACTCATTGGAGTGTGAACAGTTTAAAGTACAAGGTCAGCTCCAGGAAAGACAGAAGATAAAATGTGAAGAGCAATAGAGTAGCAATTTACATTTGTTCTCACCAGACTAAAAGAATACATTATAATATAGTGTCAAGTTAATGCTGGAGCTTTGGAAAGTAGAATGTTACACAGACATATTTTGTTGCACTCATTTTAGGTTTCCAAGAAGTGTGCTGGAATTATGCAGGTTCCTCTCTTGGTATGAGCAACTGCTTAGCGAGACAAATGTCAGATTCTAGAACTTGACCCCAGGACACTTTTCTAATACAGTGATCAAGTGACCTAGTTTGAGGAAATGACAAATAAATGTCATGGATTTCTCATTCAGCTGTCACTCTATGGGTAGGACAGCAAGTAGGAGGAAAAGGGGAATATTTAGAAGTTCTAAATGGGGCCTTTAAAATGCCAATGTGGAGACATAGGAAAACTGGTTCCCAACATGGTCTTCCTTTGACCAAATTACTTTTTTCATTGCCCATCTGACAATGTTTCCCTGATTCCTATACCTTATTATCACTAAGCTTTATTTATCCACATCTTGTTTTCTTCTATGATTTTATGTTCTGGCTTTTTATTTTATGCTCCTTTCCTCCTTATAATCTCCTCTATTTCCTTCCCCGGCATTTAAAAGATATATCTTTTTAATTAAACATTTTTATTTCAATGCCCAAAGTGTAACTTGTAGTGAGAAAAAGACTCAGCTTGCACCCCAGGGGCCAGGGCAGCAATTCTTTATAAGTGGTTGCTCTTTCAGGTTCCTGTCCTTAAAAATCTGTCTGCCCTGACCCAGTATTTCTATAGCATCACGCAGGAAGTACCTCTCTGGTGCATCTGGAATTCCCAGAAAAAAGCACATTAAAGCTGGTAATTTTAATGCTTAATTTCATTATAATCTTAGATCCATTCATAGATCGTCCATGTACAAAATGTTTTTTTTAATATGCAGTTTGCAGTGCTTGCAGCTTTCAGTTTGTCAGAGGGTTTTTGTTTTTAGCATCCACTGCTATGTGTGGCAGGCAACTGGTCTACAGATACAGATAGAAATTAACTGCATTCCCATTCCCTGCTCTTGTGGATCTCGCCATACTAAGGATGAAATGAAATCTGGCATATAATCTTCCATGGCTGTTCTGGTTTCCATTCCTCCACCCTTTCTGTGTGAAATGCCTCCTTTTTGGGAGGGGGCATGAGGAGTTGCCTACTATTTCATCCAGGCCTAAGGACCCATGAGATGGGCAACATCTGTACAGCATCTGTGGAAAGCAGGGAGCCGTTCAGGCACATCAGCCCAGAGAGCTGAGAAGCTTGAAGCCCAGCAGACCTGGCTCAAAGATCACGTGGCTGTTCTTGCTCTCCCGCTCAGGGCGGCATTCTCCCCTTGCTATACCTCAACTTGGAATGTCAACCTCAGGATCTGGGAGGACAGAAGTTTGCCACTCTCCTTAAACAGCATCCACTACTTTGAACACTTATTGATCAACTACCAACACCAGACAATTTGAACATTCACTGAGCAACTACTTGAATATATGTAATTGTTAGATGCTTTACATACATTGTCTTATTTTTTACAAACCTGTTAACTAGATGTTTATGTTACCCCCATTTTAAGAATGAAGAAATTCAGACTCAAAGAGGTATAATACCTTGATCAAGGTTGATATGGGTCAATGCAGTGGCTGCAACCTGGATCGAAATTGATCGTGTTTAAAGAAACAGACAACAAACAAACAAACAAACAAAACCAAAAAACGAATACCCCACACTGCCCCTCTCTGGGATTCTCTGCATGGTTGCCAAGTCAACAAGGGAAACCGACAAGCACTTGCGGAACTGCATTCATTCACTCACTTATTCATTCAACAAGGGTTTTCCTGGTACAACAGTACCAGCTTAAGGGAGGCAGTTCCTGAATTCAGGGTCTGTCACATCAGGAGACACACAGCAATCTAATAGTTCAACTGTTGAACCTCTTTTTCCATGTGTCTTTCTAATCATTAAAAAAAAGCCATCAAGTTATTTGTATTATCTTTTCTTTTCGTTTTTCTTTTTTTTGAGATGGAGTCTTGCTCTGTCGCCCAGGCCGGAGTGCAGTGGCGCGACCTCGGCTCACTGCAACCTCCGCCTCCCGGATTCAAGCGATTCTTCCGCCTCAGCCTCCCAAGTAGCTGGGACTACAGACACCCGCCACCACACCCGGCTAATTTTTGTATTTTTAGTAGAGACGAGGGTTTCACCATCTTGGCCAGGCTGGTCTTGAACTCCTGGCCTCATGATCCACCCGCCTCAGCCTTCCAAAGTGTTGGGACTATAGGCATGAGCCACGGCGCCCCGCCAGTTGTTTGTATTATCTTTAATAGACATTGAATTAGCTTTCTTTTAACCGAATAAATTCAACATTAATCCCAGTGCTAACACTGGGTTCAGTTGACACATTGTTTCAGAATCCAGGCCTTCTGCATCCCACTTTCAACCATTTTTTTAAAACCTGTGTATAAAAATAGTTGTTCCTTGCTCCAATAAAGAGATTGGAAAATCCAAATTCACAAACTAGACAGGGTATGAGGGAATATTAATTAGCATGGCAAACACCCTCCCTTTATAAAATAATCCACTGTCTCTTAAAAAGGCTAACAGTGAACGAATACTGGTATTAGTAAAGAAATCACTGGGCAAAGAAACACAAAGAGAAAGAAAGCCAAGTGAAGTTCCGGAAATTACAACAGAGATAAGCAGAACGATGGGCCTTAGTTTACAACATTGGGACTTAAAGACGACTTTTTGGAACAAGCCCACTGGGCACGGCCAGGAAAGGAAATTCCCAGTTGTAATCGATGAGTTTGTAAGACTTTGTGCAAAGAATGCGGGGGTGGAGGAAGAACTGGGATCTACTCGGGTTTCTAAATTTACCCGTTTAATTTACTCATGCACTCTGCTGTGTAAAAGAAAACACATTTTCCACTAAAATCTCCTATTTTATCAACGCAAAATTTTCCTGCTTTCTATTAAGCAACAAGGTTACAGCAAGTGTAACAAACTCAATGTACTTAGTGATGATCTTTCCTGCTCCAGTCAATCCATCCTATCACCTTCAGTCTGGCTCCTACCCTGGTCTTCAGTTTACACTTGTGTCTCAGCCCTTATCAGCTCCCCACGAAATTCCTGGCTGCTATTTTATTTATTTATTTATTTTTTTGAGACAGAGTCTCGCTCTGCCGCCCAGGCTGGAGTGCAGTGGCCGGATCTCAGCTCACTGCAAGCTCCGCCTCCCGGGTTCCCGCCATTCTCCTGCCTCAGCCTCCCGAGTAGCTGGGACTACAGGCGCCCGCCACCTCGCCCGGCTAGTTTTTTGTATTTTTAAAGTAGAGACGGGGTTTCACCGTGTCAGCCAGGATGGTCTCGATCTCCCGACCTCGTGATCCGCCCGTGTCGGCCTCCCAAAGTGCTGGGATTACAGGCTTGAGCCACCTCGCCCGGCCGGCTGCTATTTTAAATCGGGTGCTATTTTAAATCTGTTACTACTTTAAATCGGGTCGCGCCCATTCTTCGTGTCGGTGAGTGAGGGGCTGCGCTTCAAGTTGCGCGACCACACAGTGGGGAGTAAACGGAGACGGTGACTGGATTGCCATCCGCCCGCTTCACAGCGCAGGGCGCACGCACAGCGCCCCTGACTGGCCGCTCCGGGCGCCTTCTCCATGCCCCGACGCGTCTCGCCCGCGCGGGCTCCACGCGCAGCCTTAGTAGGCTCCGAAACTTGGATCAGCGCATCGATCCCTGAGAGGGCTCTTCCTTCGGCCCCATCACTCCCACAGTGAAGGGCGGCCGCCTCCGGAAGGCTGTCCGCGCCCGCGTCCTTGCCCGGCCGAGCCCCGTGCGGGCCCCGAAGAGGTGCCGGTAGCCAAGCGGCAGCTAGGTGGGCTCTTCCCGCGCCGGAAGTCCGCGCGTGCGCGCTGGCCGGCCTGGAGGGCGCGTCCGGCGCAGAGGGGCGGGGGGGGCGGGGCCGCGGCCGCTCGCAGGGTGTCCTCCTCCCCGCCCCCCGGCGTTCGGCGGTCGCCGTGACAACCGGAGCTGCTGCAACGGCGGCGGGCTCGCGAGTCCCGCGTTTCCTCCAGGCGGTACTTCCAGGCCGGCAGCAGCTGCCCAGTCTCCGCGATCTCCCCGCCTCCCGGCCCGCTGGGAGGGGCTGACCCGCCCTCCGCCCGCCCGCTGGAGAGTGAGCGGCGCCCGGCCGCCCAGCCAGCCCGCCGTTCTCCGGCCGCCGTTCGGGCGCGCGCAGGGAGCGGGCGCGACTATGCCAAGATGGTCTTGCAGACGCAGAACAAGCACCGGGAGGCGGCCCGAAGCCGCCCCAGCAGCCCCGCATCTCGCAGTCGCCGCTGAGTGGGGCGCCGGACGTCGGCGCCGGGGAACCCGGGCCCGAGCGCGCGCCGCCGTCCCCAGGGCGCAAGGGCGCCGCGGGCAGTAAGGGGCCCCGCGCCGAGCCTGTCGCACCGCCCGCTGGGGGCGCCCTCGGGGGGCGCCTGACCGCCCGGCTGCGCTGGGCTCTGGACCTGTGGCGCGCGAGGCGCGGCCGGACCTGGACCACGCTCCTGTTAAGTGAGCAGCCCGAGCGCAGGCGACGCCGGGACGCGGAACTTTGAGGTGCGGGCCCCCTCCCCTCGCCTTGGTTCCCCTCCTCTGCTTCAGCCCCGTCGAGCCCCGCCGGCCGGACGAGCCAGTTTGCAGCCCTCTCCGACTTTTTCTCTGGGACGTTCTTACCTTCTCCTTCCCCCAACTCCCTGGCTCAGCTCTCCTCGCACGCTTCCCACCCGCGCTCTGCCTGGGCTTTAAAAGAATGGCCCGGGGATCAACAGCTGCCTGGCCTGGCCGCGGGCGGCAGGTCTTCGCTAACGAGACTTGGGCGCTGCTGATTGGCGTGACCGGCCGCCTTCCCCGTTATCTCGGCCTCTGACCGCCAGGATGGTTTGCTTTGGCTTGGAAACGATTCCGTGGAGCTCAAAGCAAACGCACGTTCCATGTCCTAGAGAGTTGCTTAAACTTGTAATTAAATTTTAGCGCGCTTTTTTCTTCTTGGCCGCAAACGCCGCTGGTGGCGCTTTATTTGTGATTCCCCTCCACAGGTCACTTTCTAGGTTGTGTTGTGTTTGGGGCGCCCGAGCCTTAATCCTCCCTGCTGGCCTGGGAACCTTTAGTGAGGAGGGCCCTCCTCCCCTCCGTCTGCCGTGCACCAAATGGATAATGTGTAATGATGTGCTGAAAAAAATAAAGTTGAAGCATTCGTTATGTTTCGGACTGACTTCGGGTTTCCTTTGTTTCCTGTTTGACATTTCGATAAAGCAAGTTATAGCAGTTTGGATAACAGGCCTAATTTTTGTAAGTCAACTAGTGAAATGCCGTAACATTGCTTTTCTATATGCCTCATTGGGCTTTTGGCTACTGAACTATTTATTTACTGTTGCTTTATCCCTTAGTATATTTTCAAATTACCTTGGTGACCCAAAGTTCCCTTAGCCAGGAGTTGGAGTCCAGTATAAGTCAAGGAATAGGACACAGCAAATTGGCTTCCCCTGAGATCACAGCCACCACTAAAAGCCACTCAATCATAAAAAGCTAGTCATCTGTGTGTGTATGTTTTAATGGGCTCAAGAAGGTTGTTTTTAGGGTAGTTTTTTTTCCCCTATTGCAGATTCAAGCCTAGAAAAGCTGAGGTTTTTTTCCCCTAGCAAGTCCCCGCCCCCCCCCACACTTTTTTTTTTTTTTCCTGAGTAGTGAGCTTGAAAAGCTGTCTAGTGTGCAGGTTAGAAAAGCTCACCTTGGGGAGGCAGCACGTTACAGTGGATGAGGCAGAGCTTTCCGATCTAGTACACAGCGGTTCAGTTTGGTTTAAGTTTCAGGTTCCTGCCTTTGTGAGTCTTTCCTTCTCTGCTAGTGGGGGGTTATCACATGGCGAATTTACTCCACAGGGATCCACAGGGATCTGCTAAGGATCATAACTAAAAGGGGTGGGTGATACATGGGAAGATACTTTGTGTTTAGAGCACTTGACACATTGTAGTTGTTGTAATAAAAGCAAATATGTGATGCTGATTTGAGATCTGATGACAGGATGGAGTTGCATTTTTATTGAATGACTAGTATAAACATTAACCACTTTGTAGTAAAATATAGAATAGCATTGCTTCTTCAGGGATGGTACAATAACAAATCTTAGAATAATGATATTTATTGCTATTTTCTGCATATTTTCTTTTTTGATTGCATTTCCTTTGTGTCTTCTTTGGATGGATGCATGACTTATATTTGGATGACTTATCTTTGGATTTAGTAATGCCCATACCTAAATACAGTTTTGTATTAATGTAACAGTATAGCACGTTGCTTGACTTGCCCCTTTGAGCATTGAAAGGAGGTACAGTGAATGTGGTAGACCGTATTCTTGGGTGTACCCTGGACCATGACCATCAGATGTGTGGAAGCTGGATGAAGAGACCTAGGTCTAGAGACTTACTGTCCTTGTTAACTCTCTGCATGAGGCCCCAGGGCACCTTGAGAGATGATTCTGCTGAATGATTGGGCCTGGGTTGCTTCTTTCTCTGGCTCTGTACCCTCATAGACTGATGTCAGACGTGTTTTTTCCCCACGATTATGCCCTGCCACAGCATCAAAAAACCACTCAGATCCTGCAGAGAGGAGCAGAGTTTAGACATTCTTGAAAACTGCCTTATTTCCTGTTTCCTTCCCGCCTCCCAGGATTAGTGAGAGTTGAGCTGACATTATACAGTATTTCAGTGTGGGACTTTAAAATAGCTGTTTGGTTTTCCGCATTGCATTGCATATTCTTTTGTTCATCAAGAGTTCATTTGTAACTGATCAAAAAAAGAACAGTTATAACAACTAAATATTAAGCTAGACAGAAATGGATTCATTTCTATTTAGAAAGTAATTTTGTAACTTGAAGCTCCATGATAGAAACACACATTTTTAAGAGTTAGAAACTGACCGGGGCTTTCCTCCATAGGTTCTAATCACTGATGAGGAACTCACTGCCTACCAACATGGTCTTTCCACTGTTGGGCAGTGTTAAGCATTGTTGCAAAGTCTGTTTTAATAAATATATGTTTTTCTGATTTTGGGGCATTATTTGCTACTTACTTAGTGGTAACATTTGTAAAGAGGGGTTCTTGACATGTATATTTTTAGAAGTTTCAACCTGATAGCTTCCTCATGCAGAGGCAGCTGTGACATAGTAAGAACCTTAACAATGTGTCCCAAACTTTTTTGACCACAGCCCACATTATAAACAATACAGTTTATATTAAACCTGTTCACACTTCCAAAATGCAACTCAGTACATATATGCATAAGTCTGTATGTTTGTTGATCTATTTAGGTATGCCAGTGCTCTGTCAGGAAACAATGGAGTATTTTCAGAAGTGTGGGCAGGTTTAAAGAACCCACAAAGGATATTGAATCACCACCCAAGGATTGTCACCAACAGGAAGGTGCTACCACCTCTGGGTCTGAAGGGAAAGGGGAGCTTTATCAGAGGCTGCACTTAGTGAGAGCTGTGCTGGGGGAGCGAAGTCACTCCAGAAGAGTGACCTCAAGCACTTTCCCTGCACCCTCTGGTCTCCCTCTAGTGTCTCTCCCTGGCTGAAGCTACTAGAAACCCTTGGGCAAGGGGCACAGCTGAAACACTCTGTAGGGTTAGCCTCTTGGGGCTGAGAACAGGGTAGAGAAGGGAGAAGAATGGATTTGAACAGGTAAATGGAGACTAACCAGCACTTATATGCATATATTTAAGACAAAAGTTTCATGTCACGATGTATATATTTTTTAATCTGGAGCTGTATCTTTTTATTTATTATTAT